TTTTGAAAGACACCCTATACCCCCTCTGTTGCACTAGATGAGACCACGTGACAGTTGGAAGATTTAATTCTGGAATCATTAGCTTGTTTTAGGATCAGTTTCGCACATTCCCATGCCTCCCCAGCTTTTCATCTCACACGATATATTCCCCTTTGCTTCCCTATTTCCCATCAATTATACCGAGTATATGAAACCCTAACAAATTTAATACCCATTGTGGCCAATAACACTCGAACTTGCTTACTCTTACTCTACCTTGGATTAGTTTGCATTCAAAACTGTTCATTTTGATGTGAAGTTGGTGATCATCTACGTAGTTGGGGTCGACTGGTTGGTGTAAGTAGATACAAAACAAAACACCAGACACAGCCCACTGCACGGAGGGAAAACGACACTCCCCTGCCGACCCTGCACTGCCCGGCTGCCTTCGACAATGGAGGACAGCATCCGGCTTCAAAAGCTTGTTGGGTTTTATGAGCGATGGCAGCGGGAGGCTGCGCAGAAGCTGAATCAGCCCCGTGGTTATCCCGGGGACCTCAGGTAGAGGAGGTGCTGGCAGTTGCGGATAGAGCTTTCAGCCAGCCTTTAGGGGCTTCTGAGAAAGGCTGTATTCTTTCCCTAACCAACTTTAGGTGGAAGCCAGGTCCTTGCCAGCAGCACTACCACTTCCAACCTTTTACTGATGATAAGGGGTGACAGTAGGGAGTCCTCTTAAGCTGCTTCCTGCTGAGTAGGGCTTGGACCGGTCTTCCAAAGCAAGGGCTCAAGCTGGAAGGCAATGATGGGAGACTCTAGGGTATTCTGTCAGAGGCATCTGTTTTACTGTAGCGTCGGGTCAGCTCATTATTTCCTTCCTGAAAAAATATCTGAAGAGATGGGGCAATCATCACTATGTGGAAGATCGAGATCTGAGGGCAGAGGAGAGGCATGAGTCACAGAGCACAATAGTGAGAGTCCGTAATTCCAGTCAACTCCCAGGGGCTGGATTCTGCATGCCAGCTCACAGGTGTCTTTATGCTCGTCATTCTACTGTCTGGATTGGTTTACATAGTGGCAACATTCTTTTCTTTGCTGGGGAAGAGACAAGTGCCTCCTTTCTCTGTGGTCAGCAAGGGCCATTCAGTTTTGGAGGGCCACAGAGATTGGGGAGGTGAGCTGGTTCTGGAGCAATAGTAGAGTCGAGGTTTACTCCTGGATAGTATCTGGCAGCTGTGGAGATCTCCTGTGACAGATACAGACTGTGGACAGAAGAATGGAGACGTGTCCTTCCGACTAAAAGAAGTTTTTGAGAATGTTTCTTAGTAATGGAGAGATGACGCAGTGGTCAAGAGTGCTAGTTGCTGCTCTCCCAAGGAAGGGGACCCTAGTTCCCGGCACCCACACTGGGCATTGTTTGCCATTCTAATTCAGGGAAGATCAATGCTCTCCTGGCTTCTGAAGGCACCCAGCACATGTGCATCAACACACATAAACAAAATAAGTAAGTCTGAGGAAGAGAGAATTTCTTCTTCTTGACAGACGCCCATTACCTGTCCCTGAGAACAGTGCCAGATGTGGATTAGTCACTAACATCTGACATACCGGAACATTTGAACTAACTTAGGCTACATTAAGTTATGAGTAGAAAAGTATCTAAATTATTTTAACTAAAATGTGTTTTTTTCTAGCACAAATAAAGAACCATTCACTTTCCATCAAAGTTTCGTTGGGAAATGTATTAATTCTGGTTTGACCTTATAATTCATGCTTTGTTTCTAGATCTCCAGTATCAAATTCTTGCCAAGAAAAAACAAAACAAAACAAAAAAACCCACATCTGACTGAAATGGGATTTCTTTGATCTACATTCCAGAGGACACAGTACTTTTTATGAAGTTATCAGGGACTGTATCTTGAATTACACACTATTTTCCAGCTCTTATTTATTTATATTCAGCTCAAACTAACTGTCATATCAGAGAAGTCATAAAATAAGAAGATTTATACTTGTGACTAAGTGGACTCCTAATTTTTATCAGTAATTACTATAAATAAACTATTTAATACTTTCCTATTATATATGTATATATACAGCAGATATAGTGGCTCTGTTTAATAGACTTAGAAAAACAATCTTTTGTCTTCTAACTACCAATTGTCATGCTCTGCCTTGTGTGCCTTTTTAAAAGGGAGCTCATAAAAAAGCATTCTGTCAGGAATAGGGTCAGGAGAGGTTTGTTCTAACTTTAGAGTGTGGTCCCTTACATCATCTATCATGAAACCAGTGTATACTTTTATACTTTGTCAGTGTTGTTGAGCAGTTTCCTTCCAGACTGAAACATTCTATCCTGCAGATAAATGTTTTGTTTTTTCTTTCCCTTTTTTTTTTTTTTTTTTGAAACAGGGTTTCTCTGTAGTTCTGGCTATACTGGAACTCCCTATGTGTGGACCAGGCTGGCCTTGACTTAGAGATCAACCTGCCTCTGCCTCTCAGCTGCTGAGACTAAAGGTGTGTACCTTACTCAATTTAAAATTTGTGACTGGTTTTGTTTTTGATGTGTATGTGTATCTATGCACCATGTCTAAGCATAGCCCATGCAAGCCAGCACAGGGCAGCAGATCCCAGGGAACTGGAGTTACAGCAGGTTGTGAGCCACCTTCCTTATGTGTGCTGGAAACTGAACTCTGATTCTCTGGAAGTGCAGTCAGTACTCATAACCACCATGCTATCAAGCCCTTCAGGTAAACCCTTTAAGACAAAAGGTAAACAAGTCAAGATATCTTAGAAAGGAAGTCACAGCTTGTCTGGAGTACAAACTGTTATCATCAGAAACAAGGAAGGCACCACCTCAGCAAGGTGGAAGGGGAAACTGAGTCTATAAAGTTGTCCAGTGACTTCCACATGCAGGCTTTGGCATTTACTCACACACACTAAATAAATAATCTTTAAAAGATTATCTATAGATATTTACTCATTCCAACTTATAGAACCATAAAGCAGTCAGGGATATACATACATACATACGCACGTACATGTGTGTGTGTGTGTCTGTTAAGAAGAGTCTACCCACATTAAAAAAAAAAGTGGTTGGTTACTCCCATAACAGCCATGTCACTGTTGTGCCAGTGGACATATCTTGCAGGCAGGTTGCTATTGTGGCTCACAGGGTTTATAGCTGGGTGAGAGTGATGATAATGTTTTTCCTCTAGGAATATGTATAGCACCTTAGTCATGGGGGTGAAACTTCTTGTTGGGCATCAACTCAATTTCTTCATGTTCAATAACATATGTGGTGTCTTTGTCAATAGAGCCTTACCATCAGGTTGTAGAGAGTAACCAATAGTCTTGGCAAAAGCCTATGATGTTTGATGAAGGCGGGAGTTGTCTATGGGAACCCTTTGGCCAACATCGCAAAAAGATGTAACCTATTCCTGGTATTGAGGATTTTATTTGGTGGCACATGATGTGTAGTTGGGGTATTGTCTCCTCCACTATATGGTAACCGTATTTAAGCTCCTTTTATAATATGTACATTCTAGGAAGCTTCTATAGTAGTAGGTTTCATGACTTCAAAAGTTACTGTTTGTTGTCCCTCCCCATGTTCTTCTCTCTCCCCTTCTCCTCATTTAATCTTCCTTTTCTAATTTTTTGTTATTGTTGTTTTAATTCCATTGTCCCTTTACAACAGTATATTGTTTCCCCTTCTTTGGAAAATTCCCTCTTCCCCCCTATTCTCTTACTAGGTGCCTTGCTGTTGTGGTCATTCTGATTGAAACACACATATTTAAAGTTTAAAACCTAACACCGACATGTAAAGCAGTCAATGTTTACCTTTCTGGGTCTGGGTTACTTTAGTATAGAATGATCGCTTGTTTCTAGCACTATTCATTTATCTGAAAATTTTATTTTTCTTAACAGCTGAATAACATTCCATTGCATAAATTGACTACATTTTTGTTAGCCATTCAGCAGTAGATAAACATCTAGGCTGTTTCCAATTTCTAGCTTTATGAGTAGAATAGAAATGAATATGAATGAATGAGTATCCAGTAGAACTCATACCTGACACTGTTAATGAGGCTAGAACCCACGAACTATCTATTCTCCCTACGAGAAACCTACTACTATTCTATGAGAGGAACAGGGCAATAAAATAACTTGTAAGACCATTGCTATACCCATAGATCAGAGCATTGCTCAGCCCTCATCAGAGAAGCTTCTTCTTGCAAGAGACTGTGATTAACACAGATATACACAACTGGACCACGTGCACAGAGTCTCCCTGACACTCAGCCTTAAATGGAGGTCATCATCAAACTCTCTTTCTCCAAGGCTCAGGGATCTATTCAGAAGAAAAGGCAGAAAGGTTGTAAAAAGAGAGGTAACGGATGACTCCCAGGAAATGACTTCTTTAGATGCAAGGCTGATGTACATATGAACTTACAGAGACTATGACAATACGAACAAGACTTGCACAATTGTCAGATAAAATCCCAGAACAGAAAAGGGGAAATGGGCACAAAGTCCCACCCATAACTAAGAAGCTACTTGCAATTGGTAGCTTCTGGGAGAGAGAAAAAATGCTTTTCTTCAAAGAAGTATATGAAACTGGGTATATTAACTACACCTCAGGGCAGGTCTCATGATCAGGAGTTGTTGGCCAATAAAAATCAGAATCAGGGCAGGTCTCATGATCAGGAGTTGCTGGCCAATAAAATCAGAATCTATCTGTATATGTGTGTGCTTTGGTTTGTTTTGATTTTGGTGTTTTAAGAATAAAAGTTGGGTGAATGTTGGGGGATCTGGGAGGAGTAGGAGAAGGGTAAAGAGTATAATCAAGATATATTGTATGAAATTTTTTTAAAAGAACAAAGATATAGACTGTGATGAAATGGAAAACATTTTATATGGAACCTAAGCAATTTTTTTCTTGATATGCAGTTTAGATTATCTATTTCTGTACAATTGGGCAAATAAAAGCAAGACATAACTGTTTTTGGAAATAAAAATTCAACATCAGCTGGCTTGGTTAATTTTATTTTCAATGTATAAATTGTCAGTATACAAAAGTGCATTTTAATACATTTATTTCTCACAGTATTTTTCTGAGTGTTTTGGAAACTAGAAAGTGAGCATAAATATTCTGTGGGATTATGTTCAAAAAGTGGCAGATTTTATACAGCATCAATATACCACACAACATGTATGTTTAGGACAGAAATAAGCACTATAAAATGTATAAAAACAGATTTGAAAATACAAATACAGTATGTTTTAGTTGGAATTTTAAAGGTGCTTTTTTTTCTTCTCTTTCCCTTTTACCTCAAAAGTAATAAACACTTTTGAAGATGCATGTATTGTTGCACTTTTGATTTTTTGTTGTACAGTTAATGAACCTGGGAGTCTGGATAACTGTTGGTCATCAATTTGGCCTTCCCATTCTTTGGTTTCTTCTTCTTTGATTAGTAAAGGTTTACCCAGAGTTTGGCCAACGAGGTCACAGACTTCTTGAGCTTTGCGCCATGCATTCTCAACAGCAACAAGACAGGCTTGCCGTCTTAGGGATTGAAGGTAAAGATTAGTGTAACATTAAAAGAACTGCCACACTTAATAGTTTTATTTAGAATGAATAATTTAAAAATGTGCTCAACTTACCGAAGGTTTTCAATAGAACCTGGAGAGTGATAGAACTCAGGGGGGCTGATGACAACAGAGCTATCTAGCTTTTCAACCAGAAAGTTACAAATAGTTTGCATTTTTCCAAATTCAGTAAATGTAATGCAGACCTGTAAGTGAAATGATATGTGAAATTATTTTATGCCTCATGTAGTTTTAAAATTTTGTTTAAATCTGGGTATAAAAAGTAAAGCCAAGCTGGTGTGGTAGTGCACGCCTTTCAATCTCAGCACTTGGGAGACAGTCAAGTACTTCTCTGTGAGTTCAAGACCAGCCTGGACTGCAAAGCAAATTTCAGGTTAGTCAGGGTTACACAGCAAGATCTTATCTCAAACAAATAAAAAAATGAAGGAAAGAAGGGAAGATGGGAGGAAGGAAGGGAAGGAGGGAGGCAGGGAGGGAGGGAGGGAGGGAGGAAGAGAGGGGAAGGAAAGGGAAAGCAAGGGGAAAGAAGGGAAGGAAGGAGGGAAAGAGGGAAGGAAGGAGGGAAGGAGTATAAAGCCAGATTATAAGGTTCTTCATTAGTAACAGATAACAAATATACCAAATAAGAAAAACAATGTGATGCTTATAGCTATATTATTTTATTAAAGACTTGTGATTATGAAATTTAAAATTATCTAATATTTGCTTGTATATTTAAAAAGATTTTAAAAAACATTTTAAAATTCATTTTTACTTTTTCTGAAATTAGAGGGTTCTCCCTTACAGCTTCTTTATTTAATTTTGAACCCTGACACCATTCTGACTTAATTTATTCAGTTAGATTTCTGATTGGTAGTGAGTCTGTCACCCTTTACTGATGCCACTGAGGGGTGTGTCCCCTTCCGCTTATTACCTGCAGAAGTGAATCTGTTTCCCTCTGTGTCCACCTTTAAATATGGAGCAGCAGTCTCACTTTAGCAAAACTTGAAAGCTGTAGTCTCTTAAGATTTTAATGGAAGACTAACTCTTTTCTGTTAAAGGGACTTTCACAATCTTAGGCTGTTAAAATGAGTGTGTACAGGTTCTAGAGGAGTAGGAGGAACTGCAGAGGAGCTGACCTCATAGAGCACAGACACCTGTGTTTAATCATAAATCTTATCCAATGATGAGTACTGTTCCATCTGGTTTCAGTAAATACTGGTCAGAGCAACAGTCAAGGCATCGAGGATTCAATGGATCACTTTAAATTCAAGATTGGGAAACTCCAAAGCCTAAGTCTTCCCTTATAGTAAGTTAGTATCTCCATTTTAAACTATCATCGATGTTCCTTCAAAGACCATTCTTTTAAGATTTACTTTATTTTATGTGTGTGGGAGTTTGGTCTACATGTGTGGCTATATATAATGTGTGTGCTATGACTATGGAAGCCAGAAGAAGGCATCAGATACTTTGGAAATGGAGTCACAGATGTTTGTTAGCTGCTATGTGGATGCTGGGAATTGGACTGGGTCCTCTGGAAGAGCAGCCAGTGCTCTGAATCACTGAGACATCACTCTAGCTCTAAAGACAATCAATATCAAACCTTTGAAGTGCCCAGGCTGACGTCCCCAGATCTGGGCTAGCTGCCAGCCACTCTGGTAGTGCACTTCTGGAACTTCATCACACTGGGCCTCAGTTAGAGGCTGATGCATGGTTTAGCTACTCTCCCTATGGATCCTTCTGAACTGCCTTCCTTTTAACAAAAGTCCGGGGCTGTGTGAAGATGTGCCACTGTGACTGGACAACATCTGGGCAGGAAGAGGTTAGCAGAACTCTTGGGGAGAGAGGGGTCTCAGGGAAGAAGAAAGGCGAAGTCACCAGATGGACACAGAGGGTGTGCAGGAGAGGTAAAGGCCAAGAGCCACTCAGCAGCATGAAAGTTAACCCACTGAAAGAAACAGGTTAGCTTAAGTTAAGAACTAGTTAAGAACAAGCCTAAGCTAAGGCTGAGCTTTCATAATTAGTAAGTCTCTGTGTCATGATTTGGGGCTGGTGGTGTAAGAAAGCCTGCTACAGAGAGATACACATTTTCCTGTTGTTCTGACAGACAGACCGTATGCTTTACCTTGAACTCTACTAGACTTCTCCCCAGTACCGTCTTATGACCTTCTTTCCAGACTCCCCCTAGCATGAATCCCACCTGTGAAAAAGGAACCACCTTTGTCCAGGTTTCGGGAAGTGTGAGGAAGAGATGTACCCAACGGAATCAAGACCAAAGTCTTTCATAGTCTTCTCTGTCAATTTTTATAAGAAGGCGTGAGCCGCCAGAGAAGCAGTTGAGGGGCTAAAAATGTTTTGTGGGTTTTCTTTGTTGTCAGAAAGTTCCTGGGGGGGGGGAACATAGGCTTCCTGATGGTTTACTCAGGCAGGAACTGGCCTCATGACATGTGCTTTCCTCTTTGCCTTCCTTGGGTAGGACAGATGAGATTCAGAATTCCAGGTCCAAAAGGGTCAAATCCCCTTAGACTAGTTTTAATTAAAACTTTCTTGGCCTGAGCAGTGAGGAAGAGGTTTTAAAATATAGCAGCTTAAAAACAGTCCCGGGGGCCTGTAAACTTACAAAAGGGGGTCAAGAGCTTTGCCCAGCTTAACTTGCTTGTGCTTAGAAGAAACAAAACAAATTGTTTTCTCCATACCAAAGCCAAGGTCACAAGAACACAAGAACAAAAAAGGAGATATGTTTAAAATGTCTTCAAAATCATCTGTATTTCAAACTTCAGTATACAAATCTATACATTGGTACAGTGTTCAGACACCTCACACCATCCCCAGAGGTGGAGAAAGAGGCTATAACATATCATTTCTGGAGAGGCCTTTCTCAGTAACCCCGAACCATGCATAAAAGGGGCAATGCAGAAGCATGGCAATCACTCCAGTCCTGGGAGATGGGAAAGCAGAAACCCAAAGACCTTCAGTGGCCTGTGGGCAATCTACCCTTGGATGGATGGGGGTATATGAGGGGACCAGGTGTCCCCAGTAGTCTCAGGGTAAACGGGTTGGAACACAGGTAAAGGTCTCCAGCAGACCCTGTCTGCTCTCCCGCCCTGACTCCATTGGCTAAATGTGAGTGTGAGGCCCCAGCATGGTGTGCTGACCTAGCCTGGTCAGGCCAGGCCATTTGTGGGGATGCAAATGAAGCTGACCTGGTCCCAGTTTCTACCTCTGGGAAAGACAAACAGCAGGAAGCCTGGGAGGGATAGCACAGAACAGGAAAGGAGGCCCTGAGAACCTGGCAACACCTGGTTCTGTTGTGTGCCAGCACCTGATGATGCCAAGGTTCCAGTTTCTGTTGGATGCGCCCACCACCTCTTCCCTCACCATGCCCCCTCCCCGGGGAAGGCCCCTGGGACACAGCAGCAGTTGGAGAAAGGCAGATGAAGGAGGTGAATGTAGGAGAGCCCGAGGAAGCTCTGGCAGTGAGGCTGCTGTTCACTCCTACAGAGGCCCTGGTGGAGCAGCTAGAGGCGGAAGGCACTGACTAAGTGTTTGGGGTGGGACTTGTTGGCACAACCGTGAGGCAGCAGCAGCAGCTAACAGAACAGTACCACGCAGCCCATGAGTGCACCTCACAGTACTGCTGCCCATTCCCGCAAAGAAGCTGTTGACAAAAGGCAGGCAACATTGCCAGCACATGTGCAGTCAGGGTGCCACAGACGTGGACGCAGTTGTCCAGATGGGCTCAATACAGCCACCACACTTGGGTGCAAACATGTCAGGATAATGTGTACAGCAGTAGGCTTTGCCCTCTTCCTTACAGGACTTTTCCACACTGGGAACCTAAGTGCTCAGCACCTCAAAGAAGTTCCAGGACCCAATCTCCCATTGGCTGTGGATGCAAAGGAAATGCTCATAGTCACGTGTTTTCCCCAGGATGGTCACAATCTGCCCTTTGGCAGTCATGGAAAACCTCAGCTTTTTCCAGTCAGACTGAAGACTCTGGGGCTTTAGAGACCCTTGGAAGGTGAGCTGCTCAGTCTTCTCCTGGGCCATGAACCTTCCTCCTCCTTCTAAATAATTAGATCTGTCCCATTGCTTCACAAATCCCATTTAATTTTATTACTGGTTGCTCCTCAACTCCCAGGCCCTTGGCAGTTAACTGACCTGTCCCTGATTGACAGACCTGCCTTTTCCAGGAACATGCCATCTTTGGAAACAGACTCCTTTAACTTGGTGCAATACATGTGCAGTTTCAGCCTTGTTCTTGCGTAATTGTTTTACTCTGAGTACTGTTCTGTTATGTGGATAAAACCACAGTTTGTCTGAAACATTTGTTTCCAATTTGAAGCTATTATAACTAAAAGATGCTTTTCAAAGTGGTTGGAGATAATTTTGCATTTCTGAATGTATTTTTGACTCAGTTTGCCAATTCCTATTTTTAAAAGCTAGCTAGGATTTAGAATAGGATTGTAATAAATCTATAAATAACTCACTTTAGGAAGAACAAATATCAGTAATGTTGGGTCTTCCAAATCACAAATAAGATACATTTCTCCACTTACTTAAATCTTTCTTTCTCTCACAAATGTTTTATAGTCTTTAGCATATTTTATCATCTGTATCCCTTGACATTGAAAATTTATGTCTATTATTTCTAATAGATTTTTATATAATATTTTCTAGACAGATGGTAGTATGTTCCTGAGTAAAGAGTGTTTTATTCCTTCCTTCTCAGTTTGGATAGTTCTATCATTGACTGTCCCTTCCCCAAACTATACTGACTATAATTTCAAGTATAATGCTAAAAAGAAGCCACAAGAGTAATCATCATCTTTATATGGTACCTGGTCTTAAGCACAAAGTATTCAGTATTTCACCATAAAGGTATAATGCTATCTGCAGCTTTTTTAAATAGATGTTCCTTATCAAATAAATTAATTAATTTTGACACAGTGAGACACAGTCTCACTATGTAAACCAGCCTGACCGGAAACTGCTTCTCTTTCCCTAAGTACTGAGATTAAAATTATATGTCACTACACTGGGTTCGCAGAGAATTAAGCTATTTCTATTAAAAATTATTAAGAATTTTATTAAGGAATGGTTTTATTAAATGTCTTTTCTGAATCTACCATAATGAACCTGGTCTTTTGGTTTCTTAACATGGTGACTCATGATCAATTTTTTTTCAAATGTTAAACCAACCTTT